TCATATACTCAACATGCAATCTCGTGCGATCATATAATCTATAAGAAATCTCATGCTATCATATACTCAATATGCAATCTCGTGCAATCATCTTGGTCATGCAATAAAATAAACATGATGTTTTAGTATAAGTATAGATAGATATACATATACACTCATTTGTAAAAAGAATATTTTTCTGTGGAGGTTTCTTAGAGCCACAATGACTCGCATTGCTCTTCTTTTATAGAGTCTCAATGACTCGCTTTGCTTAGAGTCATAATGACTCGCTTTCTTTAGAGTCGCAATGACTCGCTTTCTCTAGAGTCGCAATGACTCGCTTTCTTTATACTCGTGGGCGAGGTAGGACTTCACCATAGTGTGAATGAACCTATTTGGGCTCGGAATCTAGCCGGCCTAATACTCATCTCTCCCACTGAACCACTCTCTTGGTTCTTTTCTCAAACTCTGTGGAATCAGGTATCGACCTATCAGTGTGCGCACCCCCTGACCAGGATTCCAAGCCTGGCGGGCAGTTGCCAACCTAGTAACTGGGGAATATCGACCTCGTTACATCATATCGGATCGCAATATCCGTTTCTTTCTCTTTTCTTCCGAAAGGACATAGTCCTAACGGTCCTCCAAAACAAGTTTTCCTCATAATAGATACATATAAACATAACTCATGCAATGCAATCTTATGCAACAACTTTACTTATGCAATCTTGTGCACATAACTTCACAACAAATTCTCTTTTCTCGCAAAAAGGAAATCAAATATCATGCAACTATTCAATGCAACTAGATAATGATTTTCCAAAATTGATATCAGTTTTTCAAAGAGTACTTAGGCTTTCTCTAAGCCACTTATGCACTTTAAGTCATGCTATGCTCAAATATGCAATTTATTGTAAAGCATACTTCAATTTCGATTCACTGTGAACTCTCAACAAATTCTTAAACATGCTAGTAAATCATAACTTAACAAATCTTCTTAGCAAACTCTTAGCAAGTAGTCAACATTTACTTGAATTCAAAATACTTAACTTATACTCATACACTGCAAGTTTAGCATTCTAGGAAAATATGCTCTGTACACTTCTACATATGTGATACTCTTGGCAAAATTCTCAACAAGTCATAATAGACATCTAAGCATGTTTTTCTAGCAAAACTTAACAAATATTGATCATCGTTCATTATCTAACAATCATATAATTGTCATGCTCCTCAAACAAATAGCCAAGAGCCAACACTTAACATTATCATTTACTGTAAATACTCTCAGACATTTTCTATAGCATTCTTCATCACAAATTCTAACACAAAAAGCTCAATTCTACTCCAAATTCAAAGAAATCAACATATATTCGTGCGTCATGAAGGCCACGAGTGTCCGAGCCTCGAGGGCCCGCGAGTCCCGGTCCGAAATGATACGTAGCTGAGCCACAAGGATTCGGCCACTGCACAGCTTCTGCTTGGCGGGGCTCTCGGCGGGGCTTGGGATGGCCCGCCTACTAGCTCCGTCATTCCACGGCTCAAGGCCACGGCCTTCACCAAGGACCGTTCGTACCCTGGGGACGCCTACTCACGGGGCTGGCCAACGGCTCCTGCCTAGGGCCGTTGGCAAGGCCCGTGAGACTGTCTGGTGCACACTGCTTTGTGCACCAGATGGTCTCTTTCACCTGCAAGAATTATTTCAGGCATTCTAACACTTCCAAAACCTCAACAACACAACATAAATCAACAATATATCACTTAACAGCTCAAACAATTCAATAAACTAGCATGTCTACTCATTTCTACCACAAAAATAGACCTCACAGAGTCTAAAATAGCTTTGGGAGTCCATGGGGTTATACCTTTGTAGATTTCCTCCTTTGAGGTGGGATTCCACCTTCTTCCCAAGCTAGATACACCCTCCTTCACCTCCTAAACATCTCAAACAAACCACACAAAACTTAAGACTCGAACCTCAAAGAAGGGAGAAGAGCTAGAAGGAATGAAATGCTAGGATTGAATGGAGAAGAATGGTGAAAACTTACTGTGTTGCCTCTTGATCTTGCAGAGCTCAAAATGTAGGAAGCAAAGAGTGGAATCAAGAGGCTAATGTCTGATAGTGCTCTTATTTATAGAGGCAAGAAACCCTAGGATAATCTCTCATGATTGGTGGAGGGCAAAGATGCAAAGTTTGGCTAAAAGTTGAATCAGACAAAGGTTTTTGGATTGCTTGTGATCCACCATGCTTCATGAACCAAGGACTAGAATTGAGTTTTAAAATAGTTTGGGGTTGAAAGTGAATTTCTCAAAATGACTTTTGTAGATAAACACTTGTTTTAGGCTTCTCAGATTTCTCCCGGTTTCACTCAGACAGGTTTTTCAGTTCAAAACTTGGTACGCAATGTACCCGAAGATCTAGGATTTTAAATTTAAATCATGTCTTAGTGTTGAATTTTTTTCAAAATGGCTCAAAATAATTTATGTAAACACCGATTTCATCGCAAAATTTTTATAGAGTGAAAAATGACTATTTTTGAATTTCTTAAAACCAAATTTATAAAATTAAATTTTGGGTTGTCACACGACTGCACGTACCGAATGTACTGTCGTGCCAACCCATGAGACACTGGGAGAAACTCTCCGCCGCCTATCGTTCAGGCCCAAACCACCTTCGTGGAGTTGTTGGCGTAGGCCTTCGATGCATACGCCCGTGAAGTCGGCCAAGCGCCCAACGCCGCTACTCTCCGACCTGCGCAGTCAGTTCCCGTCGCAGACCTAAACAATGTGGCCTCAGAGCACTCACTGTGTTCGGAGGGGCGCTCGCCGGGTCATCCTCGAGCGGCCCGTTCCGTGCACTCGCAGCTTGGCCCCATAGCTCCCGCTTTGTCGGTCATGGATTGGTTGGGCGATCGAGCGGGGCAATGTTTCCTCGCTCAGTCAGTTAGGAGGGGAAGAGAGAGGCCTGAGGAAGAGTCGCCACGAGCCATCATTCAGAGAAGGATCGCTGCAAGGCATAGGCAGGAGGCTGTTGAAGGTACTGGAGAGTCACTCATGCTCCCACCCCAAGAGTGGCCGATCTGGCAGCCGCAGTTCAGGAGCTCCACCAAAAGATAGAAGGGAAAGATAAGCCGATTGCTGATAGCCTGTTGACTTCATCCCTGTTCTCGGCGAAAGTGTTGTCGTATAAGGCTCCGACTGGGTTCAAACTACTCGATGACCCTACCTGTGATGGATCTGGAGATCCGCGCGATCATGTGATTAGTTTCTAGGCCAAGATGCAGGTGGTCGAGGCTGATGAGCTGATGATTTGTCAAGCATTCTTTCCTACTCTGATCGGGCCCGCCCAACGGTGGTTCATAAAGCTCCTCCCCCCAGGATCGATCAATAGTTTCAAGGAATTGGTTAATCAGTTCTTGCTGCACTTCGCCGGGAGCATGAAGCCCAAGAAGTATATCTTGGATTTATCCCGAGTGCATCAAGACGAGGGGGAAAGCTTGCGCAAGTATATAACGCGTTGGCAGAAGGAGGTCTAGGCAGTCGAGGGCCTTGATGACAAGACTACCCTGACGTTCTTCATCGAGTCCCTCCGAGCGGATGTGCATTACAGTAAGTTAAGGGACGAGAATCTCAAGACGTACACCTAGTCTATCCAGAGGGCTAATCAGCTAGCGGACACAAAAGAGGCGGTCAAACAAAAGCGCAAGCAGGAGGTTTCCACCTACAAGAGGCTTCGGACAGATAACGTTCGAGATGGTCGAACGGAGGACACGGGAGGTGCGCGTGTGAGAGCTCGTCAGGTGCAAGACCGGCTGGGAGCTCCTGCCTACCGACTGGTGGCACAACCCGTCCATGAGGTTCGTGCTCAGTTACCTCCTCCTCCACCCGTCCGGCCAGGAGACAACTCGCAGGTGGTCGATGCGAACGCAGCCCCCTACTACAGAAATTGAGGCGCTCATACAGCGTGGTCAGTCGTTACTCCCCAACTAGTGGCGCCGTCCAGGCTTGCCCTGATATAAGGATGCGCCTGCCCGACCGGGCGGGAAGGTGGTGGATAAGGGCAAGCAGCCTGTTCAAGAAGATGACTCGGACAAAAACTGGAAGCATAAGCCAGTTATATGTAAGAGCGATAGCCTTCCAGGAATCGGACCGAAAGAAAGCCTGCCAAGAACCGATTGTCTTCACCGATGACGATCTGCCTAGGGGCCCGACTCCTCATTGCGACGCCCTAGTCATTGCCATGGACATCCAGGGAGTAGTCATCTGTTGAGTGCTAGTAGACACGGGGAGTAGTGTTAATGTGCTATACCCGGAAGCGTACAAAAAGCTAGGACTACCACTAGAGCAATTGCGGCCGGTCAAGACTCCCCTGGCCGGGTTTACCAGTGACGCAATCGACGCAAAGGGGTGCACCTCGCTGTCGGTGGAGATGGGTACTTGGCCCAATTTGAGAAAACTAGAAATGGAATTCGTAGTGGTTGCTCTGGAATGTGCGCACAACGTTATACTTGGCCGACTAGCTTTAGAGGATTTGGGCGCCTTGATTTTCATTGAGCATCTATGCATGAAGTTCCGCACACCGACCAACGTCGAAGTAGTGTGATGTGACCAGAAAGTGGCCCGGAATTGTTATCTGCAAGCTTATCGGATTTTGGAATAAGATATCGTTATTCTGCCTCTCTTTCGACATCTCTTATTCCATTCCAAAACCTTAGTATTTAACGGTAGTGTTGATCCACCGAACGACTAGCCTACACCGTAAAACCAACAACAGATTATATGCAAAAATTGAATGATTTAGCCTAGACCTTAAAACCAACAACAAATTATATGCAAAAATTGAATGATTTTTAAATGTGGAGTGATTTAATTGAACTCTTTTATAATTCACTTGCTCAATTAGATTTTGGTCTATTTAGTATTTTTTCCAATATAAAATAGAAGAAACAAAACAAAACAACAAATTGAAGAATATGACGTAAAATCCAGGAGGGCTGACTTCGATTTGTCCGCTCTGCTTCTCTTAATTTTCTTCCCAAAATGACCTTTTGATCACCTGCAATTGAATTCTTCTGTGTTGAACCTCAACAACCCTTCACTGTCCTCTACTGAATTCGCTGTATGGAGGTAAGCTAAATTTCTATCCCGACTTTGATACTGTGCGCTACATGCTTGTTGAATTGCTCCAATGGGTTTCTCATCATGCTTAGTAAAGGTTTTCCCTTCTACCATATCCTTAAACAATCAAAACCTCATTCCTTTCAAATTATCTCAACGCCGTGAACTGTTTGTCTCAATCTCCGCCTCAAATTCCCCCTCTGCCGCCACAATTTCACTCCTTAAATCCAAACACCTCCCACCGGACTTCGCTCAGAGGCACCTTCTCGACACCCTTCGTCGGGAGAGTGATGAAACCTCAGCTCTTAGCCTCTTTGAATGGGCTTTAGAGCAGCCTGAGTTCGAACCCAGTCGGCAGATTTGCGAGGAGATTCTTCGCAAGCTTGGAAACGCGGGGTCCTTTGATGCGATGAGGCGAGTCTTGGATGATATGAAAGAGTCCAAGGTTGAGATTGGTGAAGGTACTTTCTTCATCTTTATTGAAAGATATGCCAATTTTGAACTTTATGATGAGGCCATTGGTGTTCTTGATGTGATGGAACATGAGTTTGGTGTGAAACCAGGAATCTTTAGTTACAATTTAGTGTTGAATGTTCTTGTTGATGGGAATAGATTGAAGCTAGTTGAAGGTGTGCTTTCTAGGATGTTGAGTGAGGGTTCAAACCCAGATGTGGCAACTTTTAACATACTGATTAAATCCCTCTGCAAAGCTCGTAAAATTAAGGCTGCAATTTTGATGATGGAAGATATGCCTAGACACGGTTTATTGCCTGATGAGAAGACTTACAACACATTAATGTGGGGTTATATTGAGGATGGAGATTTAGAGGGTGCATTGAGAATTAGGGACCGAATGCTGGCAGATAACTGCCCTCCAACCAATATAACGGTTAACGTTTTGATTCATGGGTTCTGTAAAGAGGGTAGGATTGAAGAAGCTTCAACTTTTCTGCAGGAGATGTCTAGCCAAGGGTTCTGTCCTGACCATTATACCTTCAACACTTGGATAAACGGTTTGTTTAAAGCGGGGCACGTTTTCCATGCTCTTGATGTCTTGGATATGATGCTTCAAAAGGGTATTGATCCTAATTTAATTACCTACAACACTGTGATATCTGGGCTTTGTGAAGCGGGTGAAGTGAAGGAGGCCGTTAAGGTTCTCACTCAGATGATTTTGCGGGACTGTATACCGTATAGAGTCACATATAACACTGTCGTCAGCACGTTGTGTAAAGAGAACCAAGTGCAGCAAGCCATAGAACTTAGTTGTGTTTTTACGAGCATGGGGCTCTTACCCGATGTGTGTACTTTTAATTCTCTGATAAAAGGCCTCTGTTGGAGTAGCAATTTCGATAGCGCAATGGAATTGTTCCGAGAGATGAAGACTGAAGGGTTCCAACCAAATGTGTTCACTTATAACATTCTAATCGAATACGTTTTTGCAAAGAAGAAATTGAACGAAGCAAAGGCCCTTTTAAAGGATATGGAATTAAGTGACTGTGCGAAAAACGTATTTACATATAATATATTGATGGATGGCTTCTGCAAGAACAATAGAATCGAAGAAGCTGGTGAAATATTTGATGAAATGGTACTGCAAGGGATCTCAAGGGACTTGGTGACTTATAACACCCTTATCGACGGTCTTTGTAAGGCCCAGAGAGTAGAGAAGGCGGCTCAGCTTATGGACCGGATGATAATGGAAGGATTGAAACCTGATACATACACATTCAACTCCATTCTTCATCCTTACTGCAGAACCGGTGATGTCAAAAAGGCGGTGGAGATAATGCAAACCATGACATTGAATGGCTGCGAACCAGATGCTTTTACTTACGCTACACTTATTCAGGGGCTCTGTAAATCAGGAAAAGTCGAGGTCGCTACTAGGTTGCTCATAACCATCCAGATGAAAGGGATGGTTATAGCACCGCAGACGTATAATCCCATAATCCAGACACTCTTCAGACAAAAGAGAACGAAAGAAGCCATGAAGCTCTTTAGGGAAATGGAGGAGAAAGCTGATCCTCCAGACTACGTATCTTATAAAACTGTTTTCCGGGGCCTTTGCTCTGCTGGACCCATTGATGAAGCCGTTAACTTTGCTGTGGAGATGATGGAGAAAGGATATATACCTGAATTCTCTTTAATCTACAATTTGGCAGAAGGGCTGTTTTCTTTAGCTAGAGAGGAGACTTTAGCTAAGTTCATTGCCATGATCATTAAGAAAGCAGACTTCTCGGAAAATGAGAAGGGTATGATTAAGGGTTTCCTTAAAATCTGTAAATTTCGTGATGCATTGGGCGCTCTTGGCCGCGTCTTAAATAGCCATTATCCCAAAGGGAATTTGGTAAAGGGAAGATTGAGACATTGAGTTGTTTTTTTTTTTTTTTTTTTTTTTTTTTTTTGAAGGAAGACATTGAGTTGTTGATTAGCAAGAAAGTCTGAAACTGTTTTGTTTTTGGTTTTTTCTCTATTTAGGGGGGGGGGGGGGGGGGGGGGGTGGTGGATTTTTTGTTTTGAATTCATGATGCAAATTAGTTAGAAATTAATGGAGGAGAGAAGAGGCTTTACTTGTAGACTTGTAGTTTAGAGTTTTGGAAAGCATAAAGGAATAGTTTCAATGAAATTGTTGTGCTCCTTTGGTTGTCTTGTAATTCTGGATTTCTGGATGAAGATAGATATAATCACATCCCTTTAAAATAGCCACTCAATTACACGTAAAAGTGCAATTGAACCATTTAAGTCAAATTTGTACAATTGATTTCTTGAACAAGTCAAATTTATGCCATTAGATTAATTTGATGGCATTTAATTTTATTTTTTTTTAATTAGTTTGAGTTGGATTTTTGCAAAAATATATATATTCCCTTGTCTTCAATGCCGGAGACCAAGAACTTTCTCTTCATCTCCACTCTTTGAGACAAAGATTTTTTTTTTTTTTTCGGTACCGGTGATGAAAATGGTGAACTAATATAATAAAGTTAAAATTAAAAAAAAAAAAAAAATCACATGGCTAGGTAATTGATAGAAGCGGTCAATTTAGTTCAATTGCATTTAGAAGAGGGTAACCCAAACATTTTTCTTTAGTTAATATTAACCTATTAACCTATTGTCATTTGGCTATTAAAGTTAAAAATTATCATCAACTAATTAAAATACTACAATGTAATAGAGCTAGTAGCATTCAAAAAAATTAAAAATTTCACTTTTAAGATAACTAATGAGGAAAAAAATGAATGAAGTAATAATTGAATGAGCATGTCAAAAGAAATGAAGGTCTCATGTGGAGTCTCATTCCCGTTAGACTTGACATTATCTTGAAATATTAAACGATACAACTAATAAGTTAGAGTGTAAAAAAAAATAATAATAATAAAAAAAAAAAAAAAAAGACCATATCATTGCCGCATGGGGCTTAGCTTAATGGTTCAAGGGTCACCTTAAAAAATTGATCAGAGGTGATGAAAATTTCTAGTTACCTCCTCCAGCGCCATGGACAAAAATTATGGTAACTTAATTAGAATTAATCTAGCATAAGTTGGAAAATCTAATGTATTTAAAAAATTAAAAAAAATAAAAAAAACTTTTCCCTTAATTAAACATTTAATACTAGTACATGAAATAAATTAGTACCTAAATTATTGAAAATTCAAATTTATATATTAAATATTAAATCTTTAATTGTCACTTTCGAAAGACTATAAATCTGATTAAATTTAAATTTTTTTTTTTGGGATGAAAAGGGAGGGGGTAACCCTGCTAATCTAACACCTAGTGGCCCAGCACATGAGACACAGTATCCATGCTCATCATATCACCAACTTCCCTCGGTGGGCAGTGAAAGTCCACCCACTCACATTTTCGTCTCGGAGCTTCCTTAGCCAACCAATCCGCAACGCCATTTTTCTCACGGGGGACATAGTCGATGATGACTGTCCAATCCTTTCGTAACCATTCCTTACACCATTTAACTAGCGTGTCGCAATGACCCAGGATATTTGAGTGTCCATTTAACCAAGTCACCGCTTGTTGTGAATCGGTTCTTAAGTAGATACTCCTTATCCCCTGGTCCCAGGTCCATTTGAGGCCCAAGTAAATCGCCCATAGCTCAGCTTCTGTTGAATTACTTGTCTTCATCATACAACTGAACCCCTTGATCCAATGTCCTCCATGGTCTCGCAACACTCCTCCACAACCAGTCATGGAGCTTCCGGGTGAGAAAGAAGCGTCAGTATTCAACAGAGTCCACGCTTGTGTAATCGGTCTGTTGCCAGCAACATCCATCTTAGTCCTGATGTGGAGTTTTTGACGTAGGAAGGCTCTCGTAGTGCTCTCCACCTGCTCCTTTATCCAATCAATCCTCCTTGTTAAGCTCCAGCTGTCTTCGTTAAAGGTTTTTTTGCACCGCCAGTTCCAAATCCACCAGGCTATTATTGCGAACATCGATTTCCAATTTCCTTCCTTGTTTTCAACAAGCTTACCTGTTACATTACGAGTAAACCAAGTATCAACATTTAAGCGGAAGAACCACCTTTGAGCCCCAGAAGGTAAGAATACTTCCCATATTTCCTTTGCTGCTGCGCAGTCTCGTAGACAATGGAGAACATCTTCCTCGTACGCATGGCAGTTGATACACCTTGCGTCAATAGTGAAGCCTCGGCGTTTGCGTTCCACATTAGTCATCAGTTTCTTGTGTCTAAGGAGCCAAAGAAAGCTGTTGATTCTTCTTGGCACCTTCAGGCTCCAGATTACCTTCCAAGTATTGTCATCATCCCCTTTATCAGTTTTTAGCGCGAGTCGATAAGCCGAAGTGACCGAGCAGTGACCATTCGGCTCCAACTTCCAGAACATACCTTCCATCTGTGTCTGACGACTTGTTCCTTCTGACAGAATGGGTTGCGCCTCACAAATCCCTCGCCAAAGATTAGAGCACGCCTTCTTTTTTGTGTAATTGCAGTCTTCGGATGTACCATGCATGTATTTGGCCAAGACAACCTTTGCCCAAAGGTTCTCTTTTTCTGTATGCAATCTCCAACCTAGCTTCGTAAGGAAAGCTAAATTCATTTCTCTCAACCGTCGTAGCCCCACGCCTCCTTGTTCCTTCGGCTTCGTTATGGTTTCCCAGTTTACCAAGTGAATGTTTTCCTTCCAAATAAATTGTCTGATTCTCCTTTCAATAGTGTCGCAAACACCTTTTGGTAAGTACATGGATTGCATCATGTAGTAAGGCATTGCATTCAGAACACTTTGTGCAAGGGTAATACGGCCTGCCAAAGATAGGTTTTTGCCTTTCCATCCTTCCAACCTCCCGTCGATTTTTTCGATTAAGGGTGTGAAGATGTTGCTCGTGACTCTCCCATGAATTGATGGTACACCTAAATATCTGCCAAGGTCCTTTGTACATACAAAATCCGCCTCTCGGGTAATGTCTTGTGCCAAAGCAGGTTCAACATTTCTCCCAAAGTGAATTTGAGATTTTTGTATACTAACTTTTTGTCCTGAGGCTTTTTCAAACTTTTGGAGACAACCCTTTATCACCTTCATTTGTTCTAACGAAGCCTCTGCAATCAACACCATATCGTCAGCAAAAAAAAGATGTGTTAGTTCGGGACCATACCTTGACAGTTTGACACCTTTCCAATTTTTTTTGTGCACTTCCTCTTTAATTAGCCGGCTAAGCCGTTCCATACAAAGAACAAACAGATACGGGGATATGGGATCTCCCTGTCTGAGGCCTCTTGTTGGTGTAATCCAATCCAATTGAGAGCCCTTCCATAGAATCGCCAGTTTCGGTGTTGTGACACACTCCATGATTATATTAACCCAGTGTCTTTCCATTCCCAGCCCATATAACGTGTCCTGAAGGAAGTCCCAAGATATGCGATCATAAGCTTTCTCTAGGTCAATCTTTAGGGTCATTGCTTTAAGCCCACTTCTCTTGGTTCTCATAGTATGAAGGAGCTCTTGGTAAACAACAATATTATCTGTGATCTGGCGTTGTGGGACGAAGCTACTTTGTTCTTCCCCCACCACTTGAGTCATAAGGCTCTTGAGGCGATTGGTGATGACCTTGGTAACAATTTTATACTTTACATTACATAAGCTGATCGGTCTGAATTGAGTGATCAGCTCTGGATGGTGAACTTTAGGAATTAAAGCTATCAAGGTGTCATTCCAATGATTGTGCATCTTAGCGGTTTGGAAAAACTCCAAAATCTTGTCTGTTAAATCCATCCCAATTACGCTCCACATTCTTTGATAAAAAGCAGCATGAAAACCGTCAGGCCCTGGAGCTTTGTAAGGAGCCATCTCAAAAAGGGCTATCTTCACTTCATCGCTTGTGACTTTCCTGCACAAAACAGATATTTCATTATAATCTTTACTAATTAAGCTTGGGCATACAAACCTTTCGTTATTGCTGGTTGTTGCTGACATGAAAAAATCCCGGAAATGGTCCTGGACCATCTGCGTGACTTGATCTGCATTCGAGACCCAGTTTCCATCGCCATCTTTCAGACTTGATACTAGGGTCCTTGTCTTTTTATTTTTGTGACAGCGTGATAGTATTTTGTATTTCTATCACCCAAGGCTATCCAATCTTCCCTCGACCTTTGGAACCAAGCTAGCTCCTCCATGTGTAAGATGTCATCCAGCTCGATTTTTAACTTTGCTTCAAGTTTGATTAGCCCACCCCTCTTTCCGTAATTCTTTGCCCTTTGTATGCCATCAATCCTAGCCATAATCTGCCTCCTTTTTCTTTCTAGATTACCTATAGCTGCTTTACTCCATGTCTTTAGCGCAACTTGCGTTGCCTGGAGTCTATCATCAAAATCTGCCCCACTGGTGGTGTTCCAAGTATTGTTTACAACATCCCCAAAATCAGCATGCAAACCCCACATGGCCTGATACTGAAATCTTCTTGGCATTGCATTCTCGATCCTATCAACCAGAGTCAGCAGGATTGGATTGTGGTCCGAAGAGAAATTCGAAAGGTGAGTGACAGCCGCCTCCGGGTAAATGTCTAGCCAAGCTTCTGTACATAGACACCTATCAAGACGGGCTGCTTTGAACGTGCCCACGGTCGTTCCTCTCCTCCAAGTGAATTGAGAGCCTCTGAATCCTAGATCAATGAGGCTCTCTCTGCTAATCCAATCAGTGAAGTCCTTGCTACGTCTCATATTAAAGTTGTCCGGGCAATTTACCTCTGTACTACTTTTAACGGAGTTAAAGTCCCCAAGGGTAACCCAGGCTTCATTCAACCCACATTGTTCCCTACCTAGTTCCAACCAAAGATTACGTCGGAGGCTGTGGGAGGGACTACCATACACAACCGCAATATTCCAGGTCCTGCTGTTATTGTTTTTAATTTCCATAGACACGAACTGTGGATTCGTTCGAATGTTGTGTAAGCTTAGAGAGTCATTCCAGAGGATCCAAATTCCTCCGCTCATCCCCACCGCTTCCACCCTCAACCATTGATCGAATCCTAACTTAATGCAAGTTTCATCGGCCCCGGTACCTGAGGATTTTGGCTCAAGAACACAAAAACAATTAGGCTTGTGTTGCCTAATGATTGTCATGGCAGCCCTAAGAAACCTCTTAGAGGCTGCGCCTTGGCAATTCCATGTTATAATCTTCATGTGAAGACACAACAGAGGCAACAACACAAACGAACAAAAAAGACAAAAACACGACAAACAGAAGCCTAGGCAGCAACCTCTTCCGAGGTGCCACTCCGGCTCTCATCCTCTGCGCATTCGTGCCATGGATCATCTTCCATATTGTCAATATTAAGGTCAGGGGGGTCCCCAATAAGCTCAAGACACTCTACCTCCATATTTACTTGGGCGGCAGGTTCATTGCTATTAAGGCAGATAGTGGTCACCGAGTTTTTCTCATTCATGCTACCCCTTGCGACTGTGTATGTATCCCCTGCGGCTGCTTGGTTTCTTCTGTAATGTGGTCGGGACGTGCTCGCCTCAGTTACAACATGCGTACGATTCTTCTCCTGTGCATGCATGGGAGTTGGTCTCGTATCCCTCATATTTTCAATCTGTTTTTTTGAAACCTGGACATTAGGGCGTTTGGCTTTCTCCTTATTTTTTGACTTAGATTTCTCAACTGGACGCACGTGATTCTCTGCATGGGTTCCCTTGTTCAGCTCCACATTCATCTCATTTATTCCTTCTTCATTATCTTCACTCAGCACCGCGAACATGGAATCAGTTCCTATCCCTTGATCATCGGCCTCTTTTCCTTTTTTATTCCCATCTTGCGCTTCATTCCCGGTGTTTTTAGAGACGTTGGTGCTTTGTACTCCATTGTTCCCCTTACCATTCTGTATGATATTCTTGCCTTTATTAGTCTGATTTCCTCGATATTTCCTTGTTGGAGCCAACATCCAAGTGCCGTACCTCTCCACAAGTTCCGGTCTAATTAGCACCGGTTGATCTGTTTCCTTATTTGGTTCCGTTCCCCCTTCGCCCGAAGCGCCACCAGTGTCTGCCGCTGCACCGCCTTCCTCCGCCATTCGTCGAGGACATTTTTCAGCCGCATGGCCGTATATGCCACAGTGGAAGCAAACCTGGTAGATTCCTTCGTACTCAATCTTTCTCACCTTCAGTTTGGCTGTAAACTTACACAGGAGTGGTTTGGTGATATCGACTTCGACACACATTCTCGCAAATCGTCCCCTTGATCCTGCGCTCGTCAACTCATCAATGTACTTTGGTTCACCAATCCTTTTTCCCAGTTTCATTAGATAAGGGTAGTCATAATATTCCATAGGAAGATCAGGAAAACGTACCCAAACCAAAACGCGTTCAGTTTTGTCCGATTTCGGATCAAAGTTTGGTTTCCAATCTTGCACGATCAAGTAATGGTCCATCACTGTCCAAGGTCCTCCATACTTTGCAAACTCATAATCATCAACAGACCAAAACCGTACCACATGATAGATATCATCCAGTGCTACTACATCCATTTTTGCCTTTGGTCTCCAAATGGCGTTGAGTCGTTTCGAAAGGTATGTATACCCCACCTTTCTGCCTAGGACTTTCACGATCACGGATTGACGCCATGGCTTTCTCATCCGAATCTTATCTTCTCTCGTTAGGGGGATTTCAGGGCACTCCGGGTCCTCATCAAGGTCTACTTCATCATCATCTGATTCAAGGTACTCAGGCACCTCCCCCTCCTTAGGTGTTTGGCCAGCCAACATGTCTCTGAACGTAACAGCCCTTGGCTGTGTCAAAGGTGGCTGTTCTTGGCTTTTACTCGTAGCATTGTTCAATTGAGGCGCTGTGATCTCATCGTTTCCTCCGGTTGACAGTTCAACTCCATCCATCGCGACCCCTCCCTCGAAAGCTGGTGGATTGTCACCGCTCGTCTTCGATTTCTTCGTGCTACGTTCCAGTAAATCTTGATCCTCCGTTGTGCGTGAAGCCGCCGACGCGGCCCTTCTTTGTGTCTCCGGTGGTGTTGACGCTGAGAGCATTTTCTTTGATTAAATTTAAATTTGAAGCATGGGAGAGCTGACTTGGTTTCTTCACCTCTGCTTCTATGAATTCTATTCCGAAAATCTTCTATTCCAATTCCAACACCCATTAAAGAACCATCCCTTCATCACCTGCAACTGAATTCTTCTGTATTGCACCTCAACAACCCTTCACTGTCTTCTACTGATTTGATTGTACACTTGTACGGAGGAGATAAGGTAAATAGCTAAATATTCATATTGTATGCTACATGCTTGTTGAATTGCTTCAATGGCGGTCTCACCATGCTTAGTTAAGGTGTTCCCCTCTACTATATCCTTAAACTACCGAAAGGTCATTTCTTTCACATTATCTCAACGCCGTGGAACGTTTATCTCAAACTCTGCCGCCACAGTTTCACTCCTCAAATCCAAACACCTCCCGCCAGACTTCACTCAGAAGCAGCTTCTGGATACCCTTCGTCAGGAGAGCGATGAAACCTCTGCTCTTAACCTCTTTGAATGGGCTTTAGAGCAGCCTGAGTTTGAACCCAGTCGGCGGGTTTTCGAGGAAATTCTTCGTAAGCTAGGAAAAGCAGGGTCTTTTGGTGCAATGAGGCGAGTCTTGGATGATATGAAAGAGTCCAAGGTTGAGATTGGTGAAGGTACTTTCTTCATCTTTATTGAAAGATATGCTATGTTTGAACTTTACGATGAGGCTATTGGTGTTCTTGATGTGATGGAACATGAGTTTGCTGTGAAACCAGGAACCTTTAGTTACAATTTGTTGTTGAATTTTCTTGTTGATGGGAATAAATTGAAGCTAGTTGAAAATGTGCTGTCTAGGATGTTAAGTGAGGGTTTAAATCCGGATGTCTCGACGTATAATATACTGATAAAAGCACTATGTAAAGAAGGTAGGATTGAAGAAGCTTTAAATTTTGTGCAAGAGATGTCTAGCCATGGGTTCTGTTTTAACCATTTTACATACAACACTTTGATAAGTGGCTTATGCAAAGCAGGACATGTTTGCTATGCACTAGATATCTTGGATTTATTGCTTCAGGAGGGTTTTAGTCCCGATTTAGTTACCTATAATACTGTGATATCTGGACTTTGTGAAGCGGGTGAAGTGAAGGAGGCAATTGAGATCCTCACGGAGATGATATTGATGGAATGTTTACCTGATAGTTTCACATATAACACTATAATCAGTGCCTTGTGCAATGGGAATCAAGTGCCACAAGCCATAGAACTTAGCTGTGTTCTTACAAGCATGGGAATCATACCGAATGTGTTTATATTTAATTCTCTGATAAATGGCCTCTGCTTGAGTAGTAATTTCAGTAGCGCGATGGAATTGTTCCAAGAGATGAGGACTGTTGGGTGCCAGCCAGATGAGTTCACTTATAACATCCTAATTGGCTACCTTTGTGCGAATAAGAAATTGAATGAAGCGATGACCCTTTTACAGGATATGGAATCAAGTGGCTGTGCAAAAAGCGTAATAACATGTAATATATTGATTGATGGCTTCTGCAAGAACAAGAGAATTGAAGAAGCACACAAAATTTTTGAGGAAATGAAACTAAAAGGGATCTCAAGGGACTTGGTGACTTATAACACCCTTATTGATGGTCTTTGTAAGGCCAAGAGGGTAGAGGAGGCGGCTCAGCTTATGGATCAAATGATAACGGAAGGATTAAAACCTGATACATTTACATACAACTCCATTCTTTATCCTTACTGCAGAGCAGGTGATGTCAAAAAGGCTGCTGATATTATGCAAGCCATGACTTCGAATTGGTGTGAACCAGATGTTTTTACTTATGGTACGCTAATTCAGGGGCTCTGTAAATCAGGAGGAGTCGAGGTTGCTACTAGGTTGCTTATAACCATCCAGATGAAAGGGATGGTTCTAGCACCACAGGCATATAATCCTATACTCCTGGCACTCTTCAGACAAAAGAGACCGAAAGAAGCCATGAGACTCTTTAGGGAAATGGAGGAAAAAGCTGATCCTCCGGACTATTTATCACATAAAGTTGTTTTCCGCGGACTTTGCTCTGGTGGAGGACCCATTGATGAAGCCGTTAATTTTGCTGTCGAGATGATGGAGAAAGGATATGTACCTGAGTTCTCTTCATTCTCAATTTTGGCGGAAGGGCTTTTCGCTTTAGCTAGAGAGGAGACTCTAGTTAAACTCATCAACATGATCATGAAGAAATCAAACATCTCAGATAATCAGGGCTTGATTAAGGATTTCCTTAAAACCCGAAACTTCCAAGATGCATTGGCCACTCTTAGCCGTGTCTTAAATAGCGGTTATTCCCAAGGGAATTTGGCGAAGGGAAGAATGAGAGTTGTTGATGCAAATGGGAAAGAAATATGTCAACAGGGAGGGGAAAAAAGGCTCTATTTGTAAAGTTTCTCCAGTTTTGAAGCATCTCTTTAGGTGTTAGAATTTAGAGATTAGGAAAGCATAAAAGACTGGCTGCAACTAATATAAAGTCTTGTGTTCCTTCAACCTTCATTTGTTTGGTGCATGTTTTGGTTGTCTGGTCATGTTCTGGCGTATGTTCGTGACTAGGAGTAGATGCCTATTCCTCTCTTCTTTTTTTATTTTTCTTTTTTTTTTTTTCTATAACACTATACGCGTTTGTTTCTTGTCAAGAACATATGCGTATAATATATTTTAAAAAATAAAAAATAAAAAATAAAAAATCTGTGTCTATTACACAATAAATGTGTAAAGTAATGACATTGCAAGTTTTTGTCATACATATCTATTGTACTACAAACTCGTATTGTCATTTACAATATATGTGAATAGTCAATTTTATACTAATATGTGCACTATGCATGCCCTATAATTTTTTACTTCCATTGTCTATAGATGCAGAATGATCATGGTGCTCCTTAGAAATGATGGTAACTACATTTTCATCTTGATGCTAACTACATTTTCATCTTGATGCTTAGAAAAATTAAATATGAACTGCTTAGAAAAATTAAATATGAACTTCCACCCTCCATATTGGTAATATTTTTGGCTAAATACAATAATTTAATAAGAATTCAAAATTTCTAGAATTTAATCAAAATTGCTACTATTTGCTACTAAGTTGAAGTATTGTGCAGGAAAATTGTTAAAATTTTAAGCTAAAATGATATTTTGAACAAATTAAGTAAAGTTTGTATCTTGTGGTGGGAATGTGGGTAGACTGGAAAAGAGATTGAAATGACGGAGAAGGTGGGATAGATATTGAAACGACGAAGGAGATGAGAGGTTAAAATGGTGGAGAATAGGAAAAGAAGAGATTGAGATGTTGAAAGAGGTTAATGAGAGAACTTGGTTAGTGGGCACCATTTATTATTAGCCTAACTCATCTCACGAGTGAGGATTTATGACTAATCATTATATCGTGGACTATTAACATAATACTTATTTTTAGTATAATGATGATTTTCATTTTTAATACGTTGAATGTTTATTTTTATGTATATTTAAAAATAAATATTTAGTATATTAAAAATAAACATGCATCTCTCGCAATCAAGAGTGGACATACCCAAGCCCAATTAAAGGTAGCTCGCCCATACCTCTGCCAATTTGACACAACTCTCATCCCCCAGGAGGCGACGATGGCTTTATGACGCGGTCTTCGTCATGAGTCAAGGAGATTTTGGTGCAGCAACTAATGGCATCTTAAGTTGCCCCCAAGACCTGTTTATAGTCGAGACCTTTGCCTGTAGTGAGGCCCTCTTGTGGCTGAAGGACCAGGGAATCACAAAAGTTCGCCTAGAGTTGGACTATATGGGCGTGATCATTGATTTGTCAAGAAGACGTTGGACCAGTCATATGCCGATCATATTTTTAATTGTTTTTCTAAAGTAATGTCAACTTTTGATAAAGTAGTCTACTGTCATGTTAATTTTCAAAAAAAAAAAAAAGTCTACTGTCATGTTAAGAGATTAGTAAACTGGGTTGTTCATGCCTTGGTAAGAGCAACAAGCTATTATTCTTCTCTCAAAAATGTTAAATCCTCAACTACAAAGGTCTCCAGACCTACAGATTGAGAGGATGTAAATCACGGTGACTCAATAACTTAGCAGACATGATCATCTGGCCATTTTAGGCATAATCTCCATCTCGTCGCTTATCCTTGTAATAATACCTTATTGGCTTTCAAAAAATAATAATGATAAACATGTATCTGTGATTTACCTTGGAATATAAATCATATTGCACAGTATAATTTGTCACGTAGGGTTTATTTAAGACATTGAGACGGGCTCTTATAATAATGTGTTATTCCGGCCTGATTTCTGCGTTTCTTATGCTTCTCTGCAGTCTCTTTGCAAAATGCTCAATTTTTATCCATGACAAAACCCACTAACGAATCACCATTTTTCATCGTCTGGATTCCTGCAATTCAATTCTTCTGTATCGCTCTACAACACCCTTCGTTGTCCTCTACTGATTTAGCTATAGGCGCAGCAAATATCTCGAGCTAAGGTAAATTTCTACCCCGACTTTGATATTGTATGCTACATGCTTGTTGAATTGCTCCAATGGGTGTCTCATCATGCTTAGCAAATGTGTCCCCTTTCACTATATCCTTAAACGCTCCAAAGCTCTTTTCTTCTACATCCTCACAACGCCGTGAACCGTTAGTCTCAATCTTGGCCACAACTTCACCCTCTGCTGCTTCAGTTTCGCTCCTCAAATCCAAGCACCTCCCGCCAGACTTCACTCAGAAGCAGCTTCAGCATAGTCTTCGCCAGGGGAAAGATGAAACCTCAGCTTTTAACCTCTTTACATGGGCTTTAACGCAGCCTGAGTCTGAACCCAGACGGCAGATTTGTGAAGAGACTCTTCGGAAGCTTGGGAAAGCGGGGTCTTTTGATGCGATGAGGCGAGTCTTGGATAGTATGAAAGAGTCCAAAGTTGAGATTGGTGAAGCTACTTTCATCATCTTTATTGAGAGTTATGCCAAGTTTGATCTTTATGATGAGGCTATTGGGGTTCTTGATGTGATGGAACAGGAGTTTGATGTGAAACCTGGAATCTTTAGTTACAACAACTTGTTGAATGTTCTTGTTGATGGCAGAAAATTCAATAAATTGGAGATAGTTGAAGATGTGGTTTCTAGGATGTTGAGTGAGGGTTTAAAACCTGATGTCCCAACTTTTAATATACTGATAAAAGCACTCTGTAAAGCACATCAAATTAGGGCTGCAATTTTGATGATGGAAGATATGCCTAGACACGGTTTATCGCCTAATGAGAAGACCTTTACAACGGTAATGCGGGGTTATATTGAGGAGGGAGATTTAGAGAATGCTTTAAGAATTAGGGACCAAATGTTTGCAGCTAACTGCCCTCCAACCAATATAACAGTTAATGTTTTGATTCATGGGTTCTGTAAAGAAGGTAGGATTGAAGAAGCTTTAAATTTTGCACAAGCGATGTCTAGCCAGGGGTTCTGTCCTGACCGTATTTCCTTCAACACTTTGATAAATGGTTTATGCAAAGCTGGACATGTTTGCCATGCTCTAGATGTCATGCATTTGATGCTTGAAGAGGGTTTTGATCCTAATCTAATTACCTATAGCACTGTGATAACTGGACTTTGTGAAGCGGGTAGAGTGAAGGAGGCGATTGAGATCCTCTCTCAGATGATTTCGAGGAACTGTTTACCCGATAGAGTCACGTATAACACTGTAATCAGCACCTTGTGTAAAGAGAATCAAGTGCAGGAAGCCATTGAGCTTAGTTGTGATCTTACAAGCGTGGGAATCTTACCTGATGTGTGTACTTTTACTTGTCTGATAAAAGGCCTCTGCTTGAGTAGCAATTTAGATTGCGCGATGGAATTGTTCCAAGAGATGAAGACTCTAGGGTATCAACCAGATGAGTTCACTTATAATATCCTAATTAACTACCTTTGTGCAAATAGGAAATTGAGTGAAGCTATGACCCTTTTAAAGGAAATGGAATCAAGTGGCTGTGCAAAAAGTGTAATAACATATAATATATTGATAGGTGGCTTTTGCAAGAACAACAGAATTGAAGAAGCGGGTGAAATTTTTTATAAAATGGTACTGCAGGGGATCTCAAGGGACTTGGTGACTTATAACACCCTCATTGATGGTCTTTGTAAGGCCAAGAGGGTGGAGAAGGCAGCTCAGCTTATGGACCAGATGATAATGGAAGGATTCAAGCCTGATAAATTCACATACAACTCCATGCTTTCTCATTACTGCAAAGCAGGTGATGTAAAGAAGGCAACTGATATTATTCAGACCATGACTTCAAATGGGTGTAAACCAGATGTTGTTAATTACCGTACCCTAATTCAGGGGTTCTGTAATTCTGGAAAAGTTGAGGTTGCAACTAGGCTGCTCAGAAGCATCCAGATGAAAGGGATGGTTCAAACACCACAGTCATATACTCCTATAATCCAGGCACTCTTCGGACAGAAGAGAACGGAAGAAGCCATGAGGCTTTTTAGGGAAATGGAGGCAAAAGCTGGTCCTCCCGACTACATATCATATAAAATTGTTTTCCGGGGCCTTTGCTCTGGTGGAGGACCCATTGATGATGCTGTTAATTTTGCAGTTGAGATGATGAAGAAAGGACATGTACCTGAGTTCTCTTTATTCTCAATTTTGGCGGTAAGGCTTTTCTCTTTAGCCAGAGAGGAGGCTATAGTTAAGTTCAGTGACATGATCATGAAGGAAGCAGAGTTCTCAGACGATGAGGAGGGCAGGATCAAGGGTTTGCTTAAAATCCGTAAATTTAATGATGCATTGGCCACTCTTGGCCGTGTCTTAAATAGACGACATTATTGCTAGAGGAATTACTGAAGGGAAGAATAGGAGTTGTTGATTAGCACTGTACTGAAGTGTTTTCTTCTTCATGAGTGAACTTATGATATGCAAATGGATGAGAAATTTGTCAGCAGGGAGGGGAGAAGAGGCTCTGCTTGTATAGTATCTCCAGTTTTGAAGTGTCTCTTTACCTGATAGAAATTAGCAATTCTTAAAGGATTAGCTGCAAACTAAAATCTTGTGCTTCTTCAATCTGCATTTGCTTTATGCTTGTGATAAGAATGCAAAAGCCTGATGATTTGTATTTCTCAAGGTTTCACTTTGTTTCTTTGTATTCACACCCTTTCTTGATGGAATTGTTGTTGCATGTTTTTTGGTTGTCTGGTCATGCTCTGCCTTTAATTATGGATACAGATAGAGATTGTCATATCAACCTTGAAAGATGGGAATAAGAACTGTAACACTGTAAAAAAGTGATCCAAACGTTCCCATATATCATCCTCCAAAAAGGGAATTCTCTAACCTTACAATTATATTAGCAGTCTATTTACCAACTTATCTCAAGTTATTATATTATTTTGAGAGAAATTTTTAGAACCATTTTTGAAATAAATTGAAAAGAATTTTTGTACCATTTGAGCTTATTAAAAATATTAATTAATTAACCAATCTGTATAACTGATTCTCTTTTTGGTTCCACTGTTAATTAATTATAGTGACATGTTCATTTTATTTTATTTTTTTGAAAACAAGACATGTTCATTTTTAATCCTTGACAAACTTTTTTTTTAATTTTATATTTAGATCCATTTATTATAATAGTATCACTTTTAGTCCTATACAAAGTACAATCGTTATACCAGCACCACGGCACGCATAGCACTGTGCGTCCTGCGCCTCTCAAAACAACGTCGTTTTGGTAAGTTATGTAGGGAGTTGACGTGATTATGTGTATTTGTTTATAAATTATGTGTATTTGTTTATACAATAACAATACAATTATGTACATTTTTTATACAATCATGTACATCTTTTTTTATACAATTATGTACATCCGAAACAGGAAATTTATGTGTATTATGTTAAGAGTTGATGTTTATTATGTTAAAAGTTTATGTATATTATGTATTATGTTAGATTATATGTATTATCTTTTTCAAAAAAAAGTATGTGTATTTTGTTATACAATTATGTACATTCATGTATACAATTATGTGTATTCTAGTATAAAATTATGTAAATTTTTTAACATGAGATTTTTTTTTAAAAGAAAATTAACCGCCAACACAGGGTAGCGAAATTTAAAAAAAAAAAAAAAAAATCTGAAACGAAGTAGTTTTGCATCAGGGCAACAATGCAATGCGCGCCCTGGTGCAGGATATAAATTGCCTACAAAGTAGGGGTGAGCATTTTGGGCTTCGGTTTCGATTTTTCGATTTAAAAATATATATTAAGTCATTCGGTTTAACATTAGAGTTCAGTTCGATTTTGGTGGAAGTCCACTATTTGAACATTTCTTTCTTTTTTTTTTTTGCCTGACCGATTGTTCAGTTGGTTCACTTGAAGTGCCACTTGAAGTGTTTTGTTGATGACAAGATGAAGAATCATCCATCTGCATAGTTAATATTTGAAAAATAAGAATTATTAAAACACCAAATATTTCAGTTTACTAGAGACACAAGAAAAACATAATAGCAATAAACCCTAATTCCATAACTAAAAATACAAACAACACCACCAAAACTAACAAAATAAAAGAGAAGAAGAACCTATTGCGTGTGTGTATTACTACTGACAGGATAATAGACCCGACCCGGATCACAAGTGGGCATCTGACCCAGCGTCACATGGGAACCCAACGGGTAGAACTCCAACGGTTAGGAATTCCATCAGGTGCCACCTTTACTGTCATTGAAGCCAGCATTGAAGTCCCCATTGATGAGAGAGAATTGAAGGCTTAGGCTCCCCATTTATGTCCCATGTTGTTACCGTTAGGACTCTAGTATAAATGGGGCTCTCCTCAGCTAGCAAAGGACACACTATATTTTCTATACTAAGACTAAGGCAATACAACTATTGTCACTCTTTCACATAACGTTATTATAATATTATTATTACCGGTAACATATTTACCGTCATTGGTGCTTTCATTGAGAGCCTGAGTCTAACACTCAAGCAGGCGACGACACACACAACTCATTCCTCTTTCAACAGCAAGCTTGAAAGAATGGTGTCCCGCAGCTCCCACGGTTCCCTCAACGTGAACAATGGCAATGCCTCAGGTGACCTCCGGGACCAACTCACCAACAATCATGGAGGGGATCTCCGAGAACAGCTCAACAACGGGAGGCCCGGGGACCTTCGAGACCAACTCAACAATGGAGGGGACCTTCCAGACCAACTCAACAATGGAGGGGACCTCCGAGACCAACTCAACAATGGAGGGGTGAACCAAGTCGTGAACCTCCAGGCGACCATTCATCAAGCAGTGACGGCGGCACTAAATCAGGTGGCAGTGGGACTCCAAGGCCAAGTAGTCCCGCCACGACCTCAGGAAATAGAAGTAGAATCCCCACGGAGGGCTGATGCCCAGGACGCAACCCGTGCAGCGAGGGACGCAGGGTGTCGCACCAGGACAAGGGGTCCAGGAGAGGGCACCCAAAGAAGCGGTTCGGCCAGACGGCAACCTGGACCCTCTCGCTCTGCCCTGGAACGGTTGGGACACGGGGCGCCCGCTCGGCAAAGGCCAGAGTCACGTGCCGAGGGGTCCTCCGCTAGAGGCCCTCGCCGACACGAGGAAAGAGAAGCGGAAAGGTCGCCCACAGAAAGGATGGGCGAGTCTCGTGGGCCGGCCCCGCGCCGGCACGGTGACGAGTCGGCCCTGCGTCGACACTCCGATGAGCGACGCTTCGATGAACCGGCCCCGCGTCGGCACTCGGCGAAGCGACGCGTCGATGAGCCGGCTCCGCGTCAGCACTCAGCGGGCGAGCGACACGTTGATGAGCGGGTTCTACACCGACACTTGGGTGGACGAAACGTCGAGGAACCAGCTCCGCGTCGACACTCAGATGGACCGCACGTCGATGAACTAGCCCCACGCCGACACATGGAGGAGCGGCAGCCGGCCCCGCGCCGGCACCCTGACGAGTCGACCCTAGTCGAGATGCTGCAGAGAAGGATCGAGGAGTTAGCAAGAAGGGTGAAGGCACGGGAGCAGTCGCTGGAACCCGAGGTACGGATGGCAGCACCATTCTCCCCAAGCATCATGGACGTACCTCTGCCGAGGGACTTCAGGTTAGCCGCCATCAAGGCGTACACGGGAGCCACTGACCCACATGTCCACATGACGAGGTACAAGGCTGCTATGGTAATGATCGGGGCAGGGGAAGCCATCATGTGCCGAGCGTTCTTGTCCACCCTGGATGGAACGGCCCAAGACTGGTTCAACACCATCCCGGACGGGTCGATCCAAAGCTTTGGGGAGTTGTCCAAAAGCTTCCTGACATACTTCTGTGGTAGCATACAGCGTAAGAAACCCTTCTCTCATCTCTGTGTAGTAAAGCAAGATAGAGGCGAGAGCCTCAAAGACTTCCTGATCAAATGGAAAAAGGAAGTCAATAATGTCTACGACTTCGACTCCAAGGCGGCGATCCCGATATTCATCCATGCCTTGAGATCGGGGTATTTTCACAAGCAGCTGAATGCCCACCACCCCCCTTCTTACGAAGATCTGATGAGGACGGCTAGCTGCTATGCCGAAGCGGAGGACGTCGACAAGGAGAAAAAAGATGAGGAGGACGGTAGGAAAAACGAGAAACCTGGGAAAGCTGGTCCGCCCAGCCAGGCACCATGTTCGAACCACCCGGCCGCAGGGAAAGGTCGGGACCACGAACGGCCTCGCCTGGTCCCCTTGCGTAACCTAACTCCTCCTACCCATCCCGTCAGTGTCATCCTAAAACAGGCTGAGGAGATGGGAATAGTCGAGTTCCCACCAGAGTGCATGAAGGTCTCCCCAAAAGAAGACCAAGCAAAGTACTGCAGGTTCCATAGGCAACCCGGGCACGACACGGATGAATGTAACGTGCTGAAGAGGCAAATAGAAGAACTCATCCAGCAAGGCTACTTCCGGCATTCTGTCAAGCGATCCAAGCAGCAGCAATAGCCGCAACACGATCCATCAAAAAATCCACCAAAAAATGTCTGGAGGAAGGAGGATGGCGCCGAGTCGTCCACCTCGAACGCCAAGAAAAGAGAACATGACCAGATATCTGAGCAGGATGATAGCGAGAAGGAAACCGAGGTGGCGCCCAGACGACAAAAGAAGCACACCAACACTTTATCTATGGTGGACCTGCGGGGGGCGACACACCCACAGAAAGGAAGAACTGGAGCAGACAACTGTACGTGGGAGAAGTGGTAAGTCTTCCCAAAGGAAAGAAGCAGAGGCGGGATGCCATCACTTTATTTGACGAGGACCTCCCCGAGGGCCCCTTACCCCATCACGACGCACTAGTGATTAAGATGGACATCAATGATATGATCGTACATCGTATCTTGGTCGACACGGGAAGCTCGGTCAATGTGATGTACTACGACGCCTTCACCAAGTTAGGGCTACCTAGAGGCCAGCTCAAAGAGGTACGAACTCCACTCTCTGGGTTTACTGGGGATTCGGTGGAAACAGAAGGGTCGGTGACCCTGCCCGTGGAGATAGGCACGAGCCCCAACATTCGCAAGCTGGACATGGAGTTCATCGTGGTAAAACTCTCTTGTGCGCACAACATCATACTGGGGAGGCCAGCACTGGAGGACCTCAAGACCATAGTATCGGTGGAACACTTGTGTATGAAGTTCCCTACTCTGAATGGAATAGGAGTCGTCAGAGACCGACGAGCAGCCCGCAGTTGCTACTTGAAGGCATGCAAGAAGATTGACAGTAAGGACCTACAGGTCCACACGATCGCGGAGAAAATTTTCAAAGAAGAAGAGGCCTGGCCCCGCGCTGAGCCCGTGTCAGAAACGGAAGATATAGTTCTAGATCCCTCCAGACCAGACCGAGTGGTGAAGATCGGCACAGGCTTAAGCCCAGAGCTAAGGGCCCAGATAGTGGATGTAATCCGCCGTTCCCACGCGGTGTTCGCATGGGGGCCAGAGGACATGCCGGGCAGAGATCGACATCATAACCCACAAGCTCGCAGTCGACCCCAGCGGAAAACCAGTGCATCAGCGAAAAAGGTATATGTCGGCAGCGAAGAGAGTTCGTGAAAAAGGAGGTGACCGCGTTACTCCACGTGGGGCACATCAA